TATATATATATATATATATATATATATATATATATATATATATTAACATTCGAGTTTGGAACTATAAATTTAAAATATAAAGTTTAAATCATCAAATGAACACAACGTAATGACAACAATAACAATATTCTAAAGAATTGAAACTGATAATATCTTATATAGAGGCAGTTATTTAGACAAATATGAATACTCCTATATTTTATATTTTTAGGACATTAAAAATCATTCTAAAAAAGGATGATATCTTATGTTTATTAACTAGATTTTTTTTATTCACACTACATTGTGAGATGAGTTATTTTTTTATAACATAAAAAAATATATTTAAATGGTGATAACTTGATTGAATTCAAATTAATTTGACAAACCAATAATCCATAATAACCTTAAAAAAAAATAAAAAGTTCTTGGCTTAATAGCATAATATCAAAGGATGAAAAAAAAAAGTAAAGTTAAATTGGTTTAATTTTTGACAGCATCAACTCTAGCCATGAAACTAAAATTACTATATAAAATGCCCAAAAAAATCTTAAACAAATTTCTTAATCATTAAAAAAATAAAAATAAAAAATAATTAAAATAATAAGGATCAAACCTGATATAAAAACTAATAATAAAAATAATGAGGGACTTAATCGAGAAATAAAATTATAAATAGATTTTAAAAAAAGTAATTAAAAAATGAGAATAATGATTGGATTAAAAAATGAAATAGAATCCGAGAGATAAAATTAAAATAAAAGAATTAAAAAAACAAGAACTAAATTTTGATTAAAAAAAGAAATGAAATGAAATATTGAGGAATAAAATTGAAAGGAAAAAAAACAACAACAATCAAGAGAATAAGTATCATATTTGATATATAAACAAAAAAAAATCAAATGAAAATAGATAAAACAAAGAAAAAGAATCTAAAATAAAGAAAGACCAATAAAAAAAGAAGAACATAATTGATTTTTTTTCTCCATTATTTTTTTATCAAAATAGTACCATTTTTACTTTTTAGCTAAATAAAAAATCAAGCAATTAATTAGGGGAAAATCATGTCAACACTCAATGATTTTTCCTTTACCATTATTTTATTTTTCAAAATAATATTATTTTTACTTCCTGCATATTAAAAAAATCTAATTGACCCCGATAACCTCAATCATTTAACCCATCTCGTGACCTTGAACATGACAGAGGTCAATTTTAAACCAGGTTTTCAAAACATGATAAAAAATAAAACACCAAATATGATATAAAATTTAATGAAATTAAACAATGATGGATGAAATTGCGAAAAAAATAAATCAAGAAGAGAACTCAAAATAAAAGGAATTACAATATAAAGATCCAATAAAAAAAACAATTAGGGATGAAATAAATAAAAAATCCAATAAAAAAGATTAAAAGTAAAGTAACTTAGAATTAAAACAATGATGATTAAATTTAATTAAAAAATAAAATATTAAAAGATAAAATTAAAAAATAACAAAATCAAAATCAATATAATTAAAAAATTAAAAACCACTTTGCAGTTTTGTAAGGTCAGCATACCTTTTTTATATTTATAAAAAGACCATTTTTATATTTATAAAAAGACCATGATACTCACCTTTCACATGATAATTGAAAAAAAAAGGTCAAAAAACCAAATATATCCCTTTACATCAGACAAAAAAAGTTGACCATAAAAACTATAAGATAATTACATTGTACAAAAAAAATATGAAAATTAAAAAAAAAACTAGGCATTAATTGTGTTTTTTTTCAAGGACATAAAAAGTAATTATATTATATAATAAATATATAAAAATGCAAAACTAAACACTCTAAATATATAAAAATACAAAACTAATCCAAAGTGTTTGTTTAATTATTTAGTTTTTTAAAAAAGACATTAATTATTTTTTACCTTGATTGCATTGCGCACAATTAAAATTAAAACATGTCTTTTAATTTTTTTAATATTTTTATTAATATGAATGTTCGGGTTAGTTTGTACATATCTCGATTAATTCTATAAAATTTAAAATTAATAATTATATAAATTTTTAATAACCATTATATTGACAATCATATTATTTAAACTAAAAAACCTCATAATATTTTAATTTAATTTATATTTATAAAAGGAAAAGTAAAAAAGACAATGGTCATGCGAAGACGAACCCGGGAAATAAGATTTATTTAAAAAGAAATAGGAAAAGGATATGCATATTAACTAGGCAGATAATGACCTCATTGGCTTCGTCTTCGTTTTCTTTTTCTTCTTCTTCTTCTTTTAACATTGATGGATCTTGTTCGACCCTGATACCTCTATATTCCAACAAATAATGATATCTTAATAAGAAAAATTATTTTCTGCACATGCCAAAGCTAATTATTTGCAGATGATTTGTTCTCGGACGAAGGGAGATCATGGCGATTGATAGTCTTAACAGTCCTTGCAGCGAATGGTACGTGCTTCAGGACATGATTTCCACAATGGGAATTTGCTGCCCATCAACCTATTTAATGTATATTTATCCCTGACATCTTGACGCTTTCAATAACGGGAATGTGGAACTTGACATGGATTCAAATCTGGCATCAGATTTGATGTCTGGTTCTCAGCATGGTGATGGATTGATCTCTTGGCACGAAGGATGATTGGTCAGCGAGGTATATTAATTGTTTTTACAGTTAAACGATGTAATGGCTTGTTCAGTTCCTAAAATCCAATGGAGATTGTAAACCCTACATTAACACAGAGAGAGAAGACTAAGCCGTATTGAATCACAATTTTCATTGTCCTGTATTGAATCAAAGTTCAATCCAATGCAATCAGACGGCAGCGCAGGGAAGAGCTCCAGCCCCTGCTCCCAGCGCTGAAGTTGTTATCAATGCCTTTGTGGAGCAATATTATCATATTCTGCACAAATGACCGGGATTGGTACAATGATTTTAAGTAATCAATGACAAGGAGATTTTCATTGAATTAAATATTTGGGACAGTATACCGGCAAAACCCCATATCCTTTAATTTTTTATTTTTTTTATTTGTTTACCCGTCGTTTCTGCTACATTGCTGCTTTAAAATAATGTCAGAAAAGAAAAGGTCAAGAGTGACAGAAACAAATGAGGAAAAATAAAAGGACAAACTATTTTTTATTTTCAGCTTATTAAATATAAAAGTACAAAATCAAATAAAAAAAGAGAAAAAACCTAATTCAAGTTGATTCGAGTTAATATGACAAACTTATAATTTAGAAAATAAAAGGTAAGTTAACTCGAATTAACTTGTCAAACCTCGAACTAAATCATGAGGTCGAGATAATATGATAAAAAAGAAAAATGTAAAATATTCATAAAGCTGAAAAAATTATTAATTCATATTAACTTTTCAAATACATGACGGCATTGGATTGAAAACACCATATTTAAAAAAATTATAAAAATCAATTATGAACCAATTAAATGTTGAATAATTAACTTTGAAAAAGAATATCAATTACACAAAAGAATCTAGAATAAAAAATGATAATTAAAATAATAGAAATTAAAGTGAAATAAAAAATAAATTTTATTTTTAATTGAAAAGAGAAAGTGAAAATAGAAATTAATTGAACAAAAAAATAAAAAATAAAAAAAAAATAAAAAAAAAAATAAATTCTCTAAAAGAGAGCTTGCTAGCATGTATTAATTTTATATGAGATTATAAAAAATGAGAACACTGATTTTACTAATTGGCATACACTAATTTTCAAAAATAATTTTTTTATATTATTATATTAAAATTATTAAAAAAATAAAAATATTAATTTAATATTTTTAAAAAATAAATATATTTAAAAAAAATACTTAAAAGAAAAAGTCACCGGACTTCCAACCAAGGAAACCTTCTTTCCCAACCACTTGAACATGTAAACACCTCAAATACATAGTAAAAACATGCGGGCATCATTTTTTTGACGTCAAAAATCATCTTAATTAAAAAAAAAAACTCACCAAAACATATCAAATATAAAAACCAATTAATTTCCCAAGCTCTATCTTTTTTCTCCGACACCGTGGTGAGTTGGAATCACAATCAATAAACTCCCTTCATAAGGTGGATGAAGAAATGGATGCTAAAATTGCCAAATTGCGTGGTTTGAATGGAGCCTGTTGGGGTTTTCTCTCTCTTCCCTCCTCTTTTAAGATACATGATTCTTATAAACCTCAAACTCTAAGCTTAAAGTGAATATATATTAAAAAAAACTTAATCTTTTTAAAAAACCAACGTCAATTCATGCCAAAATCACTTTGAACAAAATTGTTTTGATCATGTTTAACAATATATTTTAGTGAACATCGAATGATGCATATAGGAGCAATGCTAAAATAAATCTATAACAGGTTTAGATTTTTTCATAGAAAATAATGTTTAGTTTTCACATGCTAGTTTTGAAAAAAAAATTATATTACTTGAATTATAAGCCTGACTAGATTAAATAAGCTGATTTTAATTTAATTGGACAAAAAATAATAATAAATAAATTAAATTTAGAATAAAAAGGGTCTAGGATAACCTAAAAAAATATTTTTTTTTCAAAACAGGATAGATAATGTTTACATCTTATTAAATATATAAGAACAAAATATGGTAAAAAATTACATAAAAAACTAGTTCTAATTGACTAGAGTTAGTATGAAAAATCTAATCCTGGTAATTAGAACCGAGTCAACCTGGGATATCCCACCAAACCCATGACCCAAATCATAAAATTAGAATAACCCAATAAAAAAATTATAAAGCCTTTTTTATATATAAAAAAATATGATAATTTTTTGAACCCATGACCCGGGTCATTAGATCTGAAATATCCTATTTAAAAAAACTATAAAGTTCAATCATCAATCAATCAAATATTGAACAATGAAATTGAAAAATAATTTTCAATTATATACAAAAGGATTAAAAAATTACAATTAAAAGAATGAGGATCATAATTCAAATATCAAATAAAATCTCATCTTTGATTGAAGAGTGAAATTAAAAATAAAAATTAATTTAATAAAATAATAAAAAAATTAAAAGAATGAGAATCAAAATAGACAAAAAATAAAAATAAAAATAAATTTATGATGAAATGGTGAAATTGAAAAGAAGAATAACTTTTTTAAAATAATAAAAAAAATAGAAACTAAAATAATAAGAACTAGATTAGAAAACATAATGCTAACAATTTGGATTGAAGGATGAAATTAAAAATAAATAAAATTTTAAAAAAAAAATTAAGAAAAAAATTAAAAATAAAAAAACATATGGATCAAATTGAAAAATATAGTATTTTTAAATTGAGGAAAAAAGATGAAATTGAACATAAATAAAATATCCATAAAAAGATTAATAATAAAAATTAAAAATAAAAAAAATAAAGATTGAAGTTGAAATACCAATGATAAAAGGAGTCAAATTGCAATATTAAGAAGGAAGAAAAGGAAAAAAAAAAGATTCATTGGTAATAAACTAGATAATCAGCAGAGATTTACACCATATCAATAAAGAGAGAATATGACAACGCTTCCAACAATCAGATGAATGAATATTTTTTAATGCTGGGCACTTCCAACATCTTATTTTAACCAAATATTAAATTATTTTTGAATTAACTTAATAATAACACAACAATCATGGTAAAAAAATCATAAAGCTACCTGACTTCATTTTTTTTTGCTTTTAAAGATATTTTAGTTGTTTAGCTATGTATTTTAATTTTGTACTATTTTTTATATATGTGCAAATGCTAAATTGTTCATTAGTTGATATTATAATACTAAAAAAATTATTGTGCAAATACAAAAATGTCTTTGATGATATGTTTAAATTATTTTGTTTTAAAATTTATTTCAATTATTTTACCGTGTAAAATGAGAAAAACACTTATTTATATCCTATTAATTTAACAATAACAAATGGATTATGTGAAACTTGAAAAGAGACTTCAATATTTTTAATAGCAAATGATAAAAAAAATTTTAGTGAAGGAGAAAAATCATCAGTGTACTCCAGTAAACAATATATTCGAGTGTGGAGTTAGACTGTTTTTACAAGGGATTTTAACTTATTTCAATTTACAGTTTTTTTTTTAAATTCAACTATATAAAATAGAAACAAGAAGGAAAGAAAGACATCATAATTTCTGAATTGTAGGCCATCGCATCAAGTTAATACAGGCCTTAGAAGTCCGGACTGCGTTAATTAGAGGTACATAGCGTACCTAAATTTACAGATTTTGTTGAGCCAGTGGAAGAAGAGAAGAGCAAGAGATTGAAATCTAAAGAAGAAGCAATTTACTAGACGAACTCCTTCACCACATCTTCTCCTTCCTTCCTTGACATCAAATATGCAGTCAGCCCATACCTCCAAGAGATGGATACCCCTCTAGGCTTCTGCTCCTTACATTAACCTTGACACCACATATCCTTCCTACTCACAACAGTTTTGCAGCACAGACAATGATATGATGCAAAGATATCATATGCTTTGCTTGACCAAATAGAACAATATGGATGCATGAATCTCTTTTGATTATGCCTTATCCCATAAGGCCAATCATTTGTTTATATTGATACTTGTATGCTAGGTGATCCCCAGGAACATTCCATTCTAGTTTTTCGACAAGAACAGTTTTATCAGCCCAGCGCAGGTTGCTGCGATCACCGATTCAGGAAGTTTCGACAAGAACAGGAAATCTTTTCAGCCGAGGTTCTTTCTCAAGGCTGACTGGATTCCCTCGCCTGTTGCAGGTTTCTGTTTTTGAGAAACATGGTTGCTAGGTTTCTATTCTTGGGTCAAGCTGGGTCTTGTTGTATTGGGCTCTACAGCTTAAAAAAGAGCTATCTTGTATTGATTAGAGGCCCTTTTTAGTTAATTAATGTATTTTTATCAGTGAATATCGCATTAAACTTCTACAAATTAACAGAACTAGACGTGTCTCGGAATCAGAACTCTGATACTCTTAATTCTGACCTGTTTCTTAAGGGACTGTTCTCTCTCCAATCTTGGCTACCCTCCTGCCAAGAATGTTTTTTAAAAAAACCTTTCCTAAGGTGGCAATTACTGCCAGAATTGAGAAACCACCGTGTCAATGGAAAAACAAAGGGAAAAGACGAGAAAGAAATTGACGTCTGAAGGGGTAGACAGATTAAGGGATTTACCTGATGACCTTCTCCACTACATCCTTTACTTCCTCGACACCAAATACGCAGTCCTAACCTCTGCGCTTTCCAAGAGATGGAGATTCTTCTGGACTTCTGTCCCTGACCTCAACTTTGACAGAGAATCCTTCGATAAGTTTACCTCTTTCAAGAATTTCGTGCTTACTGTCTTGCAACGCCGCCAACGTGATTCAAAGATACGCAGGTTTCGCTTAACCTGAAGAAACAACGTTGATAGATCTTTCAAGAATCAGTTATCGATTATGCCTTATCCCACAGTACTGATCATGTTTTTTTATTAGACCCTGGGTGTCAATGCTTATCCCATCCACTTGTCACTAGCAAAAGATTCTATTTATCTGAATCATTCGGTGTCACAGCACTCACCACTTTGCATCTGGAACACTGCTACTTCTCTGATGGTAGTGAGAGGACTGGATGCTTTGATATTTCGGCAATTTGTCCTAATTTGATCAACTTTTGTCTCATCCACTGTGTATTTGGAATGTTTGAGGTTTTGAAAATATCGGGACCCCAGCTAGTTAACCTGACTCTGGAATATGTGTGTGGTAATAAGCTGGAAATCTCGGCACCGAAGCTTACATTTTTCAAGTTTATACCCTACTATTCACATTTGTCCGTAGCTCATCTCCCTTCCCTAGAACACGCGGACGTGGATATTTATAGGCCATATGCATACCCAAGGAAGATAGAGGTTTGCTATCCCAATTTTTTCAAACTGATGCAAGGGATTCATAATGCACAATTTATCACACTAAACCCCGAAATCATTGAGGTACGCTTGGATATCTGATGCAACTATTTGCCTATTCACTTGTTTGCATTATTATTTGTTCGTTATTTTCATTAGATATGTTGCACTAGCAGGTGTGAGAACGAAAAGTGTATTTGAACTGTAAAAGGGTTGGTGTGTGTGTGTGTGCGTGTGTATTATTTCACTTGTTTGCATTATTATTTGTTCGTTATTTTCATTAGATATGTTGCACTAGCAGGTGTGAGAACGAAAAGTGTATTTGAACTGTAAAAGGGTTGGTGTGTGTGTGTGTGCGTGTGTATTATATATATATCTTGTGCTAAATGCTTCCGTTATAGTAATTGCTGGTCTATATTCTCTGATAAATTTGGATGTATCATATTGTTCTAGATCTTGTTCAACGATCCGGATGTGTTTGAGCATCAACCTTCTCCCTTTAGTAGATTGAAGTCTTTGAAGTTGAAAGTGGATCATGAAGATGAACCCTTGATAATGCCTGCAAAGGTGATGCCGGCTCACTTTTTCAGTGGCTCTCCCTGCTGCACAACTGTGTGTACGGTGTTCCTAAGGTATTAATATATCTATATGATACAAATAGAAAAAGTCATGTCAACAGATACTTATCCTTTCCATGTAACCCCTGTTTTAGTGAATGGTATATATGATTCTTCATTAGTGCTCCTTGAGTAGATGCTGTCGTAAAGCATGATGGTATTTCCCACTTGAACTGGCCAAACGCAGCTGACTTAACTGCTTGTGAGATTACGATCACATTGATTCCATTATTTTTGTTCGGGCCAGATAAACTGTTTGGTTCTGACAATCCTTTTTATAGAATTCGTTAGCGCTTGCATTTTCTCTATTATTATATAAATTAAATTACAGGAATGTAATGAATTAATGATAATTGATCACCAAGCTTTTATTGTTTCTGGATGTGAAAAGATTAGCCTCATGCAGAATATATCGATTGCATGCCATTAGTGTTATAACAACCATTCTTCCTAAGGCTATTGTTAAGGTTCAGTCTTTAGATTAAAGAATTCAATCAGATTATGTCTCTGGAGGTTTCCATGGCAGGTACGTAGAGGCTAATTCTTGATGGTCTTAAATCTTGAATCCCTGATGGTCCGCAATTGCATAGAATTTGTAGTTGAGCCAGTCAAGAACATGTGTTGCTGAAACTAGCTTTCAAGGAGCATATTATGACATGGATTAAGATATTTCTTCATAGATAATAACAAATAAATCAATGGAATTTGTTAGGGAATTCGTTTTTGTTTAAAGATTTACTGTCCTTGTAATGGGAAGGCAAAGGCAACTTATATGGGTTTTTGAGTTGTCAAATGATGGGTGAAGCTTGGAAGTAATTTTTATTTCTCCTTTTCAATGGGTTTTGCTAACAGACCATGATTTAAGCTGCTCGTGCCTTCTTCTAGCCTCTCCTTGTTAGGTTTGTTGTCATTTCATGTACATTAAATAGACAGCACCAACCATTAACTATTGGCAACCATCATTATTGAATGAGCTGGAGTTGGTGACCATCAATGTTGATAACAAAGCAAGAAAAACTGTCATGGATGCCTATAAAAGAGGCATACGTGAGAGAGCAAAATATGAGATAAAATGGTGAGTGTATGTAAGAGAAGAAAAGAGAAACAGAGGCTGCCAAAGGGCAGCAGCCCTGCTGCTATTGCAGCAGTGTGCGTGAGATGAGAGTTGAATATGAGTGGGTGTAATCCTCCTCCTCCATATATTTGTTTTGTATCCTTTCTCTATCTCTAATTATATTGACTCTCCCGTGGATGTAGGCGATTTGCCGAACCACGTTAAATATTGTGTCAGTGTGCTTGACCTCCTATGAGCAAATATCAGAACATCACCGGTTGGAATTCCCTACAATTGGTATTAGAGCTTATGGTTTAAAGTGGTGTTTGATTTTGCTAAAAAATAAAAGTTGTCAAAATTGTGTTTTGACCATACCACTGTGTAGAGAAGGAAGAGACGAAGCCACTGGTGAAAACCGCGTCGAAATCGGATGTCGAAAATCGCCACACGCGCCGGCAGGGTGACTGGACACGCGCCGGCAGGCTGACCTAACCCGAATACCAGAAGATCTGACCTACGCGCGAGATCCAGATGATGATGATGTCATTATGACATCACAGTTTCGTTAGCATGCGAGGTGGCATGACATGTCATCAAACACGTCAGCACCGTGGGACCCACCTACCACGTCACTAGCCGCGAGTCGAGAGTGAGCCGAGCCGAGTCGAGCAGAGCTGAGTTGGAGCTAAGCCAAGGGACAGGATTCTATGTAGCGCAGTCTATGTGTAACCAGATCTGATATTGAATTTGGACCACTAATCATGACAGAATTGTTTTGATGAAATCTCAGCCGTCTGAAGTGCAATTTGGACGATTTCAGACTTGTTTCCAACTAATTTGATCATTCCGGATGCAATGGTATGGTCTGATAGTTGAGATTGAAACCATAAATAGTGATGGTGAATTATTGAAGAGAGATTGCC